ATTCACATCCGCCTGAGGCCTAGAAGTCAGTCTGAAGGCTACCAGGATCATCCCGGAACATTCCCTCTACATCTCAAGAATCCCCAAATGTTTTCACGCGAACCCACCAACAAACAATCACCCGCTTGTAGAACCTTCCCCTGAAACCTGTGTACTTTCAATGACTAAACCTAGCACTACGCAAACCCCGGCGTCAAGAAACGCCAAACCTCCAATCAACTAGAAGCTTCTCCAAACGAGCGGCAATTACCAATCACAAGCTGAGAAATGGAACTGTTGAGGCGGCAACGGGTTGATCGGGTTCCCTGCTGAAAGAAATTTGCACCTTACAAGTCTTCTGAGCTCACAGCACGCACCGTCGTGAAGCCCGCTGGTTCCGAACCGGTCGGGCCTGACTTCGGCTGTTCTTTCAGCTGCTTTGGGGGGGGGAATCATGCAGCATGAAAATGGCACATGTCTGAACAGCATCAGGAAGTGAAGCAGGCTATGACTTCAACAGTTTACTCTGATGCATGAACGCGAGTAAGATGTTTCTCATCGCCAGAAAGGCCCAAAGCAGCCCCCCCCCCGCCCCAAACACCTAAACACCAATCAGCATCAAACCTAATTAGACTTCTGAACTGCTGGGATGTTCCTGACGTCAATCCCAGCTGCCTCCTCAGAGGCGGGACTGTCCTGAATTCGCAGTTTCTCAAAGGAGAGGGGGAGCAAACCTGGAACCCTATATGGTAGTTTCCCAACATTAAGAGACCCAAATGATTAAACCCAATATACTATAGTCCTTGCATATGTCCTTCTTATAGCGATCCAAAAAAAGGTACAAACTAATTTTGGGAAACTCCTATATAATCCCCCAGCTTAATCCTAGATTCACTCCCCCGCGCCCACTTTGGCACCAGTACGGAATGGTAAGGCGTACCAGAGGCTGAAGGGCTAAGGGATGCATCCACTTCGGATGTGGAGCTTCGGGGTGAAGACTTGGAATCAGAGGTTTGAGGCATAGGGCTTCTTGCAGAGCCTTGGCAGGTGAAAGTAAGCACGCTGCATGAATATTGAACCCTTGCTACTTGAGGATGGGAAAGAGAATCCTTAACATCCTGGATGAGGGAGCTGTCGCTTGATGAGGCATTGCAAGCCTTCTGATGGCTTGAGGAAAAGCTCTCAGTCAACCCGAGGTCGTCAAGAAGACGGCTAAACGGCCCTCTGACCAGTTGTACCCAAACCCACGCGACCAGAAACCTGGCATAGGATGCCTACAGACTCCTCAGTTCTACTCTGCTGGGCACTGGAAAAACCGGACTCTTTGCTCCTTCCAAAGCTGGACATGCAGCAGCTGCAAAAGCTGCTGCTATTCTACTCTGATGATACGGGCTGCCAACAAGCGCCAGCACCACCGCCACCGCCGGGGCCACCACCACCGCCACCGCCATCACCATTTCTTCAGGAACACTACCAATTACAACCACCACCATCGCGAATACGACGACTACTGCTGCTACTACGTCTTCTTATTTTCCAGATACTGGAGAATAATGAGAAGAATCACTGCATTCGTACAAGCGCCCTCCATGCCAACAACAAACATCTTGCTTCTTACCTGCATCACGTGGGATGCCACTGTTTCTCTTCTTGCCTGTTTTGCGGCTACTGAAACGATCGCTTCTATCACAAGTGATACGCAAAATATACCATCACGATCTAATTTGCAGGCCCTATATCATCTGTCAAATACACACACCCGAAATCCATGATCAAACAAAAGCACTCGTGGCCGCTCAAATGCCACAGCCAAAGCCTGCACCCCCGACACAACCACGAAAGCATTCATCGTGAACCCCAAATAACCCCATTCAGAATCCAACAGCAGATAGCCAACCCCCAAATCCTAACCCGCAAAGCCCACGATCAACACACTAAGCTAGGAAGTGTGCTGCGTAGACCCAAAGAGCAGGACCACTGGAGCACACGCGTGTAATCGATGTACGCTCAACAACCATGGCTTTTGACACGCTCTACTTTGTGTACAGGCAGTGCTTCACACGGATGTACCTGGCAAACTCCTCCACAAACAAATACCTTTAACGCGAACCCGTAAATCCTACACCCCCGTGCAACTGTGTTGCCTATAAAAATCTACGGATCCAAGTCAACTCAGATTACTTGCTCCTACGAGCGGTCCTTGCCCGAGGTCGCCTTCGCCGCCCGCTTCGCGGCCCGCTTGGCACGTCGCGCGTCGTCCGCGGGCGCCTCTGGGTGGAATGGTTGATGGTTTTGGCTTCGGGGGAAAATCGGGTTACAATTATATTGGGGGCTTATGTAGAGGTAGTGGAAAATGGGAACCAGTATTGATAATCTATCTATAATGACTTGTTGTCTTTATTATCCTGATTTCTTTACTGGGATGACTACTGCAGTCCAGCACCCCTCTTGCTGCCAGCTGCACGTGTCTGAAACGCTACCAGACCGCAGCTAGTGGATAGTGTGATACGGGGTAGATCGTGACGAGCACTAGGAACAACCATTTCAGGCTGTTCTCTGTTTACAATACATGCAGTTGCAATCTAGAGACCTTGCAGTCCATAAACGCCCTTAAGCTTTGAGAAAGTGGAAAGCAAGTCGAGTCGCAAGCGGTGCCTTAGAGAGCACACTTAAATCCTCACACGTACTTACACTTGAAGTTGTTGATTTCCAAGGCACTTTTAGTAGTGGTACTTGTACTAGAGTACTAAAAACAGTAATAATCGTCGTCGTCGTCGTCGTCGT